CGTTGAAGTTGGGGAAGGCATTCTGTGTGTTTGGTGCTATGCAGCTCCTGCGGTGTAAGGCATCTATGGCTGTACGTAATATGGGGGTCCATGGGGTGCACTAATACTGACATGTCAGAGGGTTTGACTCATGGGTAGCTGAAGGTTTCCCCCTCATTCAATCCTTGTTTGCACAATATAGCCCCTTACATCCCCCGCCCTTACGCTCTTGCATGGTTTGACACACCTTCAGCATTTTGCTCAGTAGCTCCAAGTGGTTGTGCCTCAGAAACATCATGGCAGCCGTGATGAACCTAGGCTGATTTCGCAGCTTCTAAAATTCAAAAAATGTCATCATGGTTTTCCCCTTGTTTCTTGACCTTCCCCTTCTTGTAGCCAGGAATTCTATTTTGCCATCAAAGCAGCATCCTCCTTCACACCATTTTCCGCACCATTTTCCAACGGGTGGGGGCATTCGAGCCCAACTAAGGAACTCCCGTGCCAAGAGCAGCCGCGTGCGCGGCTTCGCTTTGCTTGCACTTGGCACATGTGCGCTTTGGAGCTTCCAAGGCCAGCAGGCTTTCAGCCAGGCACCAGTGGTGGAGGAGCGCTTTGGGTGTCTCAAGGGGTTTCAGGTTTTCGGGGGCTTCTCATACTTTTGACTCCTAAGATTGTACTCCTAAAGGTTTAGTCAGGTGCTGGAAGAACGGAGGGGTCTATGCTAACAGCGAGCGAGTTTGGCACCCTAGAGGAGTCTTCCAGCATGGGAAAGATGATCGCGGACCATGCGCTGTTGATCTCCTTGGCTTTGATGGCTGTGTGCGGTGCCTTCGCATACACGGAGAAGCCGCTGCCTGCGGCAGCAGGCCCAGCTGAGAAGCGAGCGGACTACAGCAGCTTTGTGATGATCTCGAACATCCTTTGCTTCACCTCTGGCTTCGTGAACGCCTTGGCCATCATCGACATGGGCATGACCGTCTCCCACCAGAGCGGCAACACTAGCCACACAGGCCGTCTCATCATGAACGGAGGGGCCAAGTTCTTTCACCTGATGTTGTCCTTCGCTACGGGCTCTTTCGTAGCGGGCTACACCAAGTGTGACCAGGAGGCCATCTACCAGGGCCGTTACTGTCCCAACCTGTTGGCCTCAGCATTTGCCGTGATGTTCGGCTGCCTGATCCACTACTGCAAGGCCGAGGCCGGCATGCCCAACGATGCTGCCTCCGAGTGCTTGCTGCTGTGGGCCTTCTCGCAGGGCATCCAGAACGGCATCACCCGAAGATGCAGCTCTCTGCCAGTTTGCACCACGCACTTCACCGGCTACCTCACCGACTTCGGTGTGGGCCTGGGCTTGTGGGCCCGCGCGCAGGCAGAGGGCGCTGAGCCACCTACCTTGCTGAAGGTCTTCCTCTTCGGCTCCGGCATCTTCTTCTTCGGGCTGGGCGGTGTGGCGGCCATGGAGACCCACCCCGTTTGGGGAGTGCAGGCGGCGCTGATCCCTGCTGCCATCATGGCAGCGGTGGCTGGGGGCCTTATCCCGGTCATCAAGCAGGGTGCCAAATCAGCCTGAGGCATGTCCCACCAAGCGGTTGGCCGCAAATTTTGACACCATTTTTTCCCTTCGGCCGCGCAGGTGCACTCG